AGTTACTTTTTCAAATAAGTAACTGTTTAAAACAAACAGTTACTTTGTTTACCGTCTTTACTGACAGCTCTTGTGTTGCCATGTTGAGAGAAATCGGTAGTATGTGCTGAGGCGTTGTGTTCACTGTGTAAACATGATGTTACTGTAGTTCTAGACTAAATATAAACATGTATTTACTCATCTCACCTGCACAAAAACAGATTCAGTATTCCACAAAATGAATAAAAACTGTGAAATGCAAACTCAGAATATTATACAAACCTGCAATAATTAAATATGTTAAATAAGACAAATATAGTTTTTTATGTATATAATAAATTTTTATTAACCAGTGTCTTTGCTGCTGACCTTCAATGATCCAATTCAACCATACTAAGCAAAAATTACACATTTGTGTTACATTTTTGTTATTGCTGAATAGTGTTGAACTTTCTTTTCCTGCGTCATATACTTTTTGCAATTTGTTTGAGCTGCGCCCTCTACTGTACAGACATTCATTTACATTTCCTTCAGCCTGAGGTGTATTCATTTAATTTTTGTTGTGAAAGGGCTTTTGCATTTGTAAAATAAGAACTTTTTATATTATAAACAAACAAGCCAGCCCTGCTCAGATTTAAAAGTAACTCAAAAGTAGGGCTGTGCGATATGACGATATATATTGGATGGACGAAATAAAAATATGTCCTTTCATATTATTCCTTATCGCTTAATTCGTGATGTCGCAAAATACATTGTTTACAGCAATACTTTTTCATCATTTGGATGACTGCAATCTTACACCACGGGTCATGAAGGGGAGACCGAACCAGGTGGCTCCAAGCAGGAAAACGACCAGCCAGGACAAAAAGAGGAGCTCGTTCCTAAACGAGGGACCACATCTGTAGTAGGGGTGGGAATCACCAGAGACCTCACGATATGATATTATCACGATGCGTGTGTCACGATACAATATTATTGCAATATTCTGCGACATATTGCAATTTATTACCTTTTTCAAACTTCAAATTATGTCCCCAAAGTAAAACGTTGACAACATCTGTTTTAACTAAAAAGAAACATTTCTCAGTTTGTTTATCTCAGTTCAGTTTTATTGTTGCAGTGCAAAATTGGATTGTCAAGTAGACAAACTGACCAACACTTTCATGAAAACCTGTCATAAATGTTGTATGCACCTGGCTAACTCAACTATTTGTATTACAGTCTAATCTAGTCCACCTTAATTAAATGTAAACAGGTATGCACTACTGTGCTACTACAGGTATTTCGAACAGTGCAACTTGAAATTGTACTAAAAAGTTGTGCAGACCCTTCAGCAGTTGGGGCATTTGAAAGTAAATTACTGTTAAATTTAAATTAAATTAAATAAAACGTGTAGTATTACATCTAGGGACGAACCAAAAATGAAAATTCTGGGCCGAAACGGAAACCGAAAATTCTGGATGCACTTGGCTGAAAACCAAAACCGAAAATGCTTTTGTAATGATTATTTATTATTTTATTAAATAATGTAAAGTAATTTGGTAAGACTTTTTAAATTTAACTCAATTTTAATGATACTGAACTGTGCATAACTGTATTCTCATTAACTAACATTAAGAAAGATTAATAAATACTTAAATAAATGTATAAATGTTAATACATTAACTAACATTAACTAATGGAACCTTATTGAAAAGTGTTACCTTAATATTAAATATCAATTTATTATTTTTATTCACTTCTATGTAACAGAATCAGATATACAGTAAGTTGTTGTTTTTTTTTGACTAATTATCCAAATAATGTATAGTCCTACAAAGCTATTATTATCAGAGCATATGAGCATAGCAGAGCATAGCGTCACTGAAGGTAGCATTATTTTACCAGCATTGCCCAGTACAGCTGAACTAGCCTACACCATGCAAACCGGAACAAGTAGGCCTATACTGCATAGAAATTTCCTGTCAGCGCGTTATTTGAGGCTTTGCTTTTCCACTGAGCATGAGCAGTACACGAGCGGAATGCACATTCATAGATCGGAATATTGAGTGGAGCGTCAAACCGCATAGTGACGAGGAGAGTGAACACTGCCAGGCGGGGCGCAATGCGGCATGCCATATATTATTATTATTATTATTATTATATGTAGCCTATATTTTCGGTGCATCCCTACTAACATCCCCTCCTTGTTTACAAATCCGAACTAAGTCTATACATCCGATTTAAGCGCGGATGGGGCTTTCCTGATAACTTTCCATGATGCCGCCCTCTTTATTTTACTAACTTACTGCATGCTGAAGGTGACCCAGCTGACCTAACCAGAAACTATCTAGTGGATTGTGAAGAAATTGATTTTATTATTCTACCAAATAGTATAATAAAAGATCGATACTTGGCGTCCGTGCATGGATACAGTATTGCCGCGGAAAATTTCGCGATACTATGCTGTATCAGTTTTTTCCCCGACCCCTAATGTGTAGCATGGACACGCGTTTTTAAGCACTGCAGTTTTAAAACAACCGATTTTAAGCCATTGAAACAAACAACTATATGCGTGTGCTGTCTCTGTTTCTGTGTGAGAGGAGTGTGCATTTTTTCCCGCTTTATTGGCTTTGAACGATTACATAAACACACTTATATGAGCTATAATCCCTGGCTTTGCAAGTATCCTCATAAACACAGTGATTTAGGTCTTAAGAGAGAGTAAACAGCTGAAAAAGAAAATGCATATGTAACGGTATATTGGATCCGGACTTGAACAGGAAGCTGTCCAATATTCGTCCTGTCTGCCATTCATATTAATCAAACAACAGTGAGAGAAAATCTCTCACTGCTCTTGACTAAATCCCTTTTGTAACTTTAATAAGAAGAAATTTAAAAATAATAATAATGATAATTTATATTGTCGCGGGGTGAATGAGAGCACAGACTCGGTACTGGTCGAAAGAGCCCCGGAGGGTGATTTATTTGCCCACACACTGATCACACGTGCCCTTGATGACTGGTGCTCGGTGCCCGTCTCACACTGGTGCTCGTGGGGTGAAGTGCCGTGGTGCAGATCCCTCTCCCTGGGTGCCTTCAGATTCTGTGAAATAAGGAGAACAATCGTTAATGCCGCCTGGAGCTCTGGGGTCCTCTCCCACCGGTGTCTCTTCTCCTGGCTTTTAAGGCCAGCGGGAACGAGCTCCAGGTGCGCCACTCATCGCGCACAGGTGTTGTGCGTCGGTGATCAGTGTGGCAGCGGCGTTTCCAGGGCGACGCTAATCTGGACTCGGGATACTCGCCACAATATATATATTTGATGACTGGTGCTCGGTGCCCGTCTCACACTGGTGCTCGTGGGGTGAAGTGCCGTGGTGCAGATCCCTCTCCCTGGGTGCCTTCAGATTCTGTGAAATAAGGAGAACAATCGTTAATGCCGCCTGGAGCTCTGGGGTCCTCTCCCACCGGTGTCTCTTCTCCTGGCTTTTAAGGCCAGCGGGAACGAGCTCCAGGTGCGCCACTCATCGCGCACAGGTGTTGTGCGTCGGTGATCAGTGTGGCAGCGGCGTTTCCAGGGCGACGCTAATCTGGACTCGGGATACTCGCCACAATATATATATGTATGTGTGTATAGAATCTATGCATAATACATGTTAATTATATCTATCTAGACAGATAGATATAATTAACAGTGAAGACTAATTAATTTACACAATGTATGTAGCGTTACTTTTAACTATTGTAGTTTTTGTCCTATTGCTTGCAATTAGTTTCTTATCCTTATTTCATCACTGACTGTTTATTTATCTTCAGTGAGCTTGAGGTTGTTGTTTTTTTGTCTCTTTTTAGGCTTGTATTAGTTTGATATTGACATCGGTGACAAGGGTTATGAAAATGATATGGTATCAAAGGTTTTAATATCATAAAAACCTTCTTAAAAGAAAAAGAACTACATTGATATATATCGTTATCGTGATATAAAATCACTTATTCGTGATATAAGATTTTGGTCATATCGCCCACCCCTACTCAAAAGTAATGTAGCTCATTACTTTCTGTAAAAAGTAATTAAGTAACATAATTAGTTACTTTTTTTAAGGGAGTAACGCAATATTGTAATGCATTACTTTTAAAAGTAACTTTCCCCAACACTGGTTGCCTGTAGTTGGGTCTATACTCAAATAAGCATTAAAAAACACATTCTACTCTCAGATACTACATTAAATAGTCTATTGAACTATACATACTGAGGTTATATCTATTTTGCTCTGTTCACAATTTACCTTGCTGAGAAAAAAAAGAAAAGAAAAAAAAAAAAACTAAACTGGTTGGCTTGTCATGGCTCTGTTCACAATTAACTTTAGTAGAATTTGTTTTCAGTGTGTTCCTAAGCTTAACAATATGATACTTGAATAAAAGTATTAGAAGTAATACTTATTACAATTAGAAGTACATGCTACTACTCACAAACACCAGGTAATATAGTCTACTGAACTATTAGTTGTCTGTGGTTGGGTCTATTTTGGCTCAATTTACAATAAATTACCATGTTGCTAACATAATAGTGTGATACTTGAATAATGATACAATTACTTATTAATTAATCTTACAAAATTAAAATGGTCTGTTTGAGAAAAGTCTGGAGAAATAGCCTAGTGGATGTAGCCAAAATATCTCAGTTGGAAGAGCATTGGACTGAAGTTCTAAAGGTCCTTGGTTTGATCCTATGTTTCAGCAGCTCTTCTGTGTTTTTGTTTTTGGTCCTTGGGGCTAGTGACCAAAATTTACTGGGATCCAAGCCCTCTGTCTAATTGCTTCCCCACAGCCACAGCACTACATGTCTCCCAGGTGTATTGGTGTAGTTCCATGGTGTAATGGCTAGCACTGTGGACTTTGAATCCAGCAATCTACGTTCAAGTTTCATTGGACCCTGCATGCTTTCTTGCTGCAGGAAAAGAAAAAAAGATAGGTGGTTGTGCTAGCGAGCCTGTAAGTGATTTAGTCTTTGTGGCCATGTGAGCAACAGCTGCTCCTGTCAAGGTTCCATGGAGTAATGGTTAGCACTCTGGACTCTGAATCCAGTGATCCGAGGTTCAAATCTCGGTGGGACCTGCTTTTGTCACCAACGTGCGCAAGAACCGGTCCAAAAAACTTTTTGGCTGCAGTGAGCCCAAAAGCACACGTAGGGCGCTTTGCTTCGTAGTGTCAAAGCACAGTTTGTATCTTTAGGGAAGTGAGCATAAAAGGGCAGGACAAAGCTTGGATAATGCAGGCATCGATCCCACTACCTCTTGCATGCTAAGCAAGCACTCTACCATTTGAGCTAATTCCCCTAGAC